TGCGAACGCTGTCCCCGGTGTCAACTCGAATACAACATCGACAGGTCGCTCTCCCTCGAGTTATCTACCTGTTCACATGTTTTCATACGAGTAGATTCGGTACGCAAACCTCTACAACAGCCTACGCAGGACCTTTTCACGTGATCTCTCGTCACAAAAAGACCTTCAATGTTGATCGACATGGCCGCGTCGAGATCGTCAGCGTTGATCGTCTCAAACCAGCACACGTCGATGACAGTGCCCTACTCGATAACTTGAGACCCAGTGCTAGACCTATCAAACCTTGTAGAGGGATCTCTAATCTACATCGGATCCCACGCTAGATACATCAGAGACCTTATTCTCACGTCCCGGTCAACAGCACGCGTCATCTGCACCATCTACGAGCGAGACTTCAGTCTCACGTCTAGATCAGCAGACCACACAGCACTTGACCTCGAATGAGATTGCAGGCTCACGGAGTACGAACGAGACCAACGTCTGACATTCCGGTCGCCGAGTGCGCTTACCAGTACGCTTTCGCGACTAACCGCACAGTCAACAACGGATACGGTATAGGACTATTCCTATGCTACGCGCATGCCACACTTTTCTTTTGATTTTTTGTATCCTGAGCCCACACCTCCGAACATCTCCCGTTTTGTAACGTCGATTTCAGTCAACCTTGACGAAAGCTGGCCTGATCACCGACGCTCTTGTCAACGCACTCAGTTGATAATCTGGTTTCGAATCTGTTTGGTATATATTTGGTCTCGCAATTGGTTGTTATGGTCGCTTCCAATTTCTTGAGTCAACGTGGTTTCGTCCTGTGTCTGCAGCGTTTTCTGGGCCCGACGAACATAATTTTCAGATCCTGGATACAAACCACTCTGCTGTGGTATGCTAACTCGAGCAACAAATACAGCACGCTTCTTCTGGTACCGTTCTCCGTAAAGGACTTTCGTTGGCAACTCGAGGATCAACGATCACTTCATGTTTCGCCAATTCTTCCGCCCCACAATCGCTCGTCAGCCGATCAGCCCCACGAACCAAACGGCTACTTATCGAAAGTGTAAACCCTTTCGATTTGTCAGATATGAACTGAGCCAGTCAAATAAAGGTGATTTGATATCCAATCGTTTGAGCTTGTTAATAAGACAGATGTGGTTAACCCTATCAAAAGCTTTAGAGAAATCAAGGTAAACGATGTCCACCGTCCCCTTGCGATCAACTATGCTCGTCCATCTGTCCACCGCGGTCAGCGGGTTCGTCATACAGGAGTAACCCTTCCTGAAACCATGCTGTTGGGATGAGAAGAAATTTAAGGACAGCAGATAGTCGTGTATACCATCGTATACCAGGGACTCCATGATCTTTGAAGGTATAGAGAGAAGAGCCACTGGTTGGTAACTTGAAGGTTCGCTGTGTCGACCTCCCTTGAAGATTGGTGTGATATGAGCCAGCTTCCAAATATCCTGTAGTTTTCCCCGACTTAGCGAGTGTGAGAACATCACGCTAAGCGGTGTTGCCAGGATTGAAGCTGCTTCCCTCAATATAGCAGAGTGGACCATATCTGGACCAGGAGAAGTGTCTTTTCTCAGGTGTTGCAGTTTACGGAACACCAAGTCGGCGCTCAGTTTCACTACGGAAAGTCCTGTGCAGTTGCAGATAAAGCCGTCATCAGTATAGTTGATGTGGGTCGGTTGAAATGTCCGGGAGTATTGCTCAGCCAGAAGGTTAGCGGCATCACCGTCATTATCGGTCGGGCCGTTAGGACCTAGCAGTTGAGGAACTCCAGTTTCGGCTTGACGAAGAGAGGCTGTGTAACGGAATAAGCTTTTCGGATTGAAAATAAATTTATCCATAAGCTTTAACTGGTACTAAAGCCTGATTCCTCTTATAGCCTTTGTGCATATGTTCCTTATATGTTTGTATTGCCTGTACTCGTCGTTGTTGTCGCTTCGTTTGTATTCTGCCCAACAGTGCCTTTTACGGCTTAACAAACGAAGAGTGCGGTTTTTGATGATCGTAGGTTGCATGCGGCTTTTGGAGACCGTTTGAGGGACTGACTGCTTTGTAGCACATAAGAGCGTGTGTAGTAGGAAGTTCCAATGAGCATCCACATCAAGTTGAGTGTGAACAGCCCAATCCACCTGTTGTAGATAGTCCTGTACAGCTGACACATTCAACCGTTTGAAATTCCAACGCCTGTTGTTGTTGGGATATCTTAACTCGGTTTTGCTGACGAAACTGAAGGCTATAACGGCGTGATCGCTTTTCCCCAGGGGAGCCAGAATTGAGAGGTTGTCGACTAGAAATTCTTTATTTGTAAAAACACAGTCCAAGCGCGACGGTGTCTGACTGTTCCTCACACGAGTAGCCAACTTCACGTTTTCGTGTAGTCCCGAATCCTCAATGAGGTTGAAGAACCGAGCTTCAATTGAATTTTCAACTCCAATATACGTATGTTCCGCGAAGTTGACTCTAGGGAGATTGAAGTCCCCTAGAATCAGGAGTTAATGCTTTCAATTTGAAACGCGTGAGCTTCTTCCCGTTTGTCTGTGAGAGCCTTACGTGAGTGTACAGGTAACCCACCTATAGTAGTTTTGTCGAATCGGTAGGCCCTGTTGTTTACACGTTTTTTTATATTCAAGAGAGTCCACAATTGAATTATCAGCTCCAGCTTGCCTTTGAGATTGATCCTGGCGTCATATGGCTTGTCTGGGTGCATGTCGATCCCAGTTGGCAACCGACGTCTATTGTCACGAAATGCTTCCAGATCTGCAGCCGCCATATGGAAGGATGGAAAAGTTATTCTCATTAATCGGGGTCTAGGATCCCCGTCCTTCTTGGCTAGTCTCATCACATGCTGAGTCAGTATGTTTTTGAGCCTCAAGGACTGTTTGATGAATTTCCGTTCCCTCATATCAGAATTTGCTTGACTAGGGTCCGTGTTTTCCGGTACACTTTGCACAATTATATTTATTCAGCGGAAAAACTTCTCTCGAGAATCTTTAGGGACGTTCCGGATGAGATTGCGCTCAGAATACGGTATGTCGGGCAGTATTCTGACGTTCCCATCGAATTTCAGAAGATGACTAGCTAGCAGGACATCCCCTACTTCGGTAGCATCCTTGGGTGTTACATGAAGTAGTCTCGGGTGATTTTGATGCTTAGATTCCTTTTCCCCGAGTGAGCCGTATTTACGTCAGAGGCTCTATTCTAGGAAGTTCGAGCTTTTTGTTCAGTTCACCCCAGAGCATCCTGTCGTTTTTGTCCTGCAATCTGAGAGGAAGGTCTGGGTTGTCTATGAGGTTCATGATTATAAGAGAGTTGTCATTAACCGCTATTGTTTTCCCAGGTTTTCCGGTGCGTTCAGGTTCAGTACAATGTTGTTTGGAGGTCAAAGCAGGTTTTTAAGTCGTAGGCTTTTTGATAACCGGGCGGACGTTTTGGGGGTAGACTGAGCGATCAAATCACTAGTTGATGTCCGTACAACACTTGGGATGTTAAACTTAGACGATGACACCTGGTCCTTCTTAGCTCTGTTGGCGTGGATGCAGACACCTGCAAAGTTTTTGGGAACCACTGTTGCGTTTAAGGACCTCGAACTGGGAGATCCAAGTTTAGTGAGGGAGCCAATTACCGTCGACGTAATGATGGTGCTGAGTTTCAGCATTTCATCATTAGTGCTTATGCGTGTTTCATCGATGGTTGACTTATCAACATCCCTATTCTTATTTTCGTTACGCGCCCTTGTTTGTCTACCTACTTTATGGCTATCTGCTTCCAAGTTTACTGGCAATTTATTCCGCAGACCTGTCAGTAGAAAATGATGTTGCTCAGCAGTACTACAGCGTCCGTGTTGCACGTGATACACACCCACTTACGGTCCGATTAGCTGAGTCTCTTGTAAGCAGTTGCCGTAAGATCTGTGCACGTTTCGTGGAACCAACCTTTGCAGTTGTCGCACTGCATGCCAGATGTATCAGCGAAACGGCATCCAGGTCGTTTGCATGAATTTTTCATGGCTGTATTGGCGTAAACTGTGTTAGAGATAGTATCAAAGCTTAAGACCGTTAAAAATACACTAAAAACGGGAAAAATGTGTAAAACGGATGAGATAAAATGAACTAGCCTATTTGTGAAAACCTGAAGAAAAAACCGAATAGTAAGCTGAGGTAAATCACAGTTAACTATTAAATTGGGCGAAACTCAAAAAAAGTAATCTACCGAACTTATAGCTCAGGATAGATTTTTTAGATCAGAAGTGGTGCTTTTGTTGCGTAAGAAAACAGCAAAAGTTTGAGAAATGGAAATCACGTTAGGACTGAACTTCCCGTTAGAAAAGCGCGCTCATCGGTTAGAGGACTAGTCAAACATAGAATGCAATTTCCATGTTCCTAAGAGATTAAAGCATGCATCATGAATCTCCCTAACTAATACAACACTCTCATAACCCAGGCACAGATGTTGAGGATCAAACTGCTTGAGATTTATGAATAAATTTGAAAGCTAGACCTTTCAAATTTCGTTGTAATTCACCGGGAATTATGTCAGACAGTTAATGGAATAACCACATCATACAATACAAAAGATCTGATGCCGTTTCTAAACATAAGACACTAACGCATACATACTGCTTGACTAACGCAAATTTCAAGATACCAAAGGTATTTGTAGTTTGACAACACTTTAACAAGTAACACCTATAATAGAATCGTGCCTATCTAGTGCAATCAAACTTCAGAGGCTAGGATTTTCGAAGATGCGTTTGTTAGGTAATCAATATATCAAGAAGTGACTGAGCACGGCGTTCTCACTCGTGACCTGGTGCGGATGCATGACTGAAAGCGTTTAGCTAGGTGAGTCCTTTCAAACTAATGTGATCAGCATCATATGTCGAACACTTACAAACCTATTGATTTTAGAGATTTATTTACTTTTAGAAATCAATTAGGTACGAAAAGTTATCATTAACGTCACATTTTGTTTTTCCCTTTCGAATTTTCAAAATCTTGGCTACAAGCAAATGTGCATTGTACGAACTACTAAGGCGTCCCACTTCAAAATTTATTTTTGACCATCAAACTGTCATAAGCTAATGCTTTAGTCACTAACCGTTACCATTAGTTACCTCTTTTTAAATGTAAGTGAATGTAATGAACCAACTATATGGTTACTTTTTCTGTTCTCTTCCATAGATTTTCTCAGATTTTCTACTCTCCAAACTATAATTACAAGCGAATTACTTCCAAATTATATCCAAATATACTAGAGGATGAAGATCAAGCGTTAAAAATCAATCATTTTTTAATAAATGGTGTATGAATTCATCTGGAGTCTTCCAATATTTTTCATCGGTATTTAATCAATGGATAGACAGGAATCTACTTCGAAAACGTCTTCAAGTCTCAGAACTGAATTAGATGTTCCCTCAGCAGATACTTGTTTGACTGTTTCTTGCGGATATAACCTGCGACCATCAGGAAGTGTATCGTCGATTGCCTCATCATTCACAGCGACTAAAAGTGAATTGGTGACTAAGTAAGTATGATTTATGAGGTCGGAAGAGATTCATTGTTTGTCAGAAACTACCTAGTTGGGAGTATAGCTGGAGGTGCAGGCTCTTTACTAGGAATGAGGGAACTAAACAAGATAATTCCAGGTAGTAACATAGATATCCAAGTTGTTACATGGAATATGTTATCCATGAAGTCTCAGGTAACAGTTCAAATATTCCGCTAGGTTTACAGAAAAGTTTTATCCGGAAGATTTGAGTGATCTCTTCTTCAGTGGGTCTTCCGAAGAAGCTGCAAGCGTTTATGCCATTTGTATACAAGAGTGTTCTTCCGACAAGTGAGTTTGTATATTAAGAAAATTGAATACATGTCCATATGGTATATTGTATATTGTAATGTCTAGCCTCGGAAGCACTTACCAAATTTCTGTTCTTGTCTAGCTCAGTGGGGAATTAAATAGTACGTTAATAATAACCCAATCGTACCAGCAATGATTTTATTTCGAATTTCGTGAATACAACATGGTTTTCTTCATTTAAGCATAATTAGCATCGCCTGCTTCTTTGAAAGGCGTTAATCAGCCGTGCTTTTGTGTTATTGTTATTGTCTTGTATTTAGTATGAGATAAAGTGGTGTTCTTGTAACATTCTTAATATCCTTATAAATTTTTAGCCACCTTTTAAAGACAGATCGCGTTCGTGAATTGACCCTTCAGCTAGAAAAAAAATACCATTTTTAAAAATATGCTTTTAAAAAGTCAGCATAGACCTCAATTCGAAATTCTTAGTTTTAAATTTTATAGGATTATTCTGTAAATTATGTTCGGGGTAGTAGTTTAAGAATAAATTGTAAGTAGCCACGATTTTTTATTGATATAATAGTCTAAATTCTTAATTGATCCTCTGCCTTTGATAATACTTTATGGGAAAAACACATTGTGACGCAAAGGGATGTGTGAGTTCTCTCTAAATAGTTTATACACTAATTACGTCACCTTTTTTTCTTTAGACAGAAAATTAAGCATGTGGTATTCTTTTGAAAGCATCAATAACAAGTACATCACCTGGGCTTGCTTATAAAATCCTTTGAAAATTTCTGCAGACATTACCTCGCAAAATAACAAGTTAAAGAAATGATAAGGAATAATAGTAAGCAGCTTTATCTACATACATTACCGTTTCTTTAAACTGTGCGTTTAAAATAAATTTGTCACAGGAAGTTTATCCACCATAAATTATCTGAAGGTCACTATGTTTTACATTGCAGTTAAAGGTTAAGAATTCATCAACTGGTCCCTCATCTCATGCTTCTTGTTCATTATAATCCATTTTATCATAACTTTGCTTGATTACTTAAAGAAATGAACTTCTTGTGAGATTGCAAGCTGCTATCGGCATAAAACATGTTCTGTTTACATATGCAACCCATGGGACTTTGGCTTTAATGATATTTCTAAACCGCGATCTTATATGGTATACTTCGGGTATGTGTAACGGTGACTTTAAAATTTAGTTAACACTGTTTTATCATTTTTAATTTATATGGGCTTTAATTATTGTATTTTAAATTGTATCAACTGATTTCATTTAGAAATTACTATGTTCGGAAATGTATGTTCCGTAATAATAATTAGAATATGACTTGAATAATGTCTTTCTGAGCCACATTGGACCACTTTTTATCATTAATTATATACCTTTTATATTTTAATTAGAAATAAACCGCTGGTTTTCATAGTAAATATGGATTCAAATTGGTCACAAAGTCATTGTTAATGAGTAAGAACTAGGTGAACTGAACATAAATAATGACATCCAAGTTAAGTTAGTGAAATATTTAAAATGTGAGGGGAGTTCATTCAACGTAAATGGCTGTTGAATAAAAAAATTTAAAGTCATAGTTTTATTTGTCATAGATTAAATTTTTAAAAATCATTCCTTCAATTGTAATCGAGAAAAGTTTTACGTAATTGCTTAGACATAGTTTAAGTTTAGAGAGTTTAAATGAAATCGTAAATCTTATTATTTCCTTTAGAAATCGTTTATTTTGCATATACTCAAAGTAATAATGATAATATTAATTAAATTAAATAGGCGTATGATGTGGAGAAATAGGTGACAACGTAATGTTTACATCAGTTGGATCGAGTAATTTTGATGGGTAACTGCTCTAATATTTTCAAAACTTCGCATCTGACTGCTATTGGTAGATTACTATTCATATGGTAAACTTATAAAAACAAACCATCCCGTTTGGTTGTACAGCCGTTTATGAAGTAACCTTCAGTGTAAAAATTAAATGCATCACACCGAAACAGACAATATACATAATGATTATCCAGAATTACTATGGACTTTATTAATATTTGTTCCCATTCAAGGTGCGTTAAACCAAAATAAAGAAAAAACCCTCTTTATATTGATTCTAATATTCAGTTTCAATATTTATCTAATATATAAGGCTGTCACAATCAAATTTATTAACACAATTATGACAGATTACATATTTAACACTCAACAAAATTTTTCAATCTGTCGTGAAGTTCTTAAATGTGTTTTAAACATTTTTTAAACCCCTTAATATTCAACAAAACTCATATAGTTATACAGACTCTTATCTTATGTTGTAGTGCCTCAGTCAGTTGGAGTCACAACTTCAGCTGCCGTACGAACTAAAGGAGCTGTAGCTATTTGCTTTATACTTTTTGGTACATCGATTTTATTCCTCTCAGCCCATTTTAAAGGTAAATTATCAAATAATTATAAGAAATTAAAAAGGATTACTTGCAAAATTTCAATAACTTTATATATTTAGTTAACGAAGTAAATATACCTCATATCCTGAGAACCAGTTATAACAATTTCTCCATATAGTATTGTGGGGATTGTCTTGTTTGACATCAGTATCATTTAATTTATTTAGTAAGTTATATAACAACACATATATGAGACAATATATAGAGCGAAAGTCATTTTAAATTACTGTTCCTAGTTGAACAAAACAATAAGCACAAGAACCGCAATTGAGAACCTGACAAAATTATTAACATATTATCCAATGAATCCATTGAATACGAGTTTTTTATAGTTGCGTCGGTTTTTGGTCCAAGTGACTAAGTTATCACTTGGCTTGCTAGCTCCGGAATGTTAACTAATGAGCCATCCATGATAATCTGAGATAAAAGCATGAGTGATATATGTAACCTATTGATGAGAACACATTGGTTCACTAGTCCTTGTTTGTGCAACTGTATCATAATCTATAATTTAAAGTCAGGTAACTCACCATTTTACACATTTTTGATGAGTAGAGAAATGATTTTCCATCATTATACTATCCTTTTCTGTTGACTGGAAATGAGTTGCAGATACTCAATTAAAAATTATGGGATACTAAAACAGGAAGTAATGCATGTCTTGTGGTTGAGGCTACTATTGCTCTGTCATTCGCCTTGATATTTTCATTTCGCTGTGTTTATGTGGTATGGAAACTTTAACTGATGAACCTTTGTTCCAGCTTTTGCATTCTATATGCTTGACTGTACACACGTTGAGCAATTATCTGATGCTTTCTTGTGACAACCAAACTAATGAGGTGGAACCGATATCAGAAGATATCAGGAGTTTACCAATTTTAGTGAAAGAATTTATTCAAAAGTGAATAAAAGTCACATATAAAGTAACTATGTGTATGCTTTTTCATCAAACGATTGTCTTATCGTAGAATGACCATCAAGTTCTAATCAAATCCTCAGTCAGCCACTTCCAAAATGATCGCTTGAAGTTCTAGTACACAGCTGAAATATGTGAAGTCCACAAATTCGACGGTGAACACAAGCAGTCATGGATATTTAGTAGTGACTTCTTTGTACGACGTACCTTATACAATAAATCCCTATACCATGCTTTATACTTTCACCACATCGAACTTTTTTTGACGTATTTATCTAACACCAATACAAGTTGAAGACTACAAACCGAAATTGAACGTTTAATTTCAATACAACACTACAAAACTCTGTTTTCACCACAAAACATAAATGGATTTCTTTTGCCTCTGTGAATAAGATACAATGCTAATTCACCACTGCATTCTATTTACTATATCGTATAATGCTGTGTGTTGGATTTAGTTTGACGTCTATTATAATTTTCAGATGGCTTAACTCAAAATACCACAGAAATAAAAAAACAGATAAAAGCATTTTAAAATAATGTTTTTACGCCTTTCAATCATGGATTTTCATTTTACATCAGGGTAAAATTCAGTAACGTCAGTAAAAATATATGGAATTTTGGGCCAAACTGTTCCATTAAAGTACCAAACATTTATCTCAGATTAAATTGTGACCAATGTCCCCTAGTATAGTGCTATAACGAATTTCTTATCGCTCTTAATTCTCTATGAAAACTGAAACATTTCATAACACCACCTAGTCAAACCTAATTAATGAAAATCTTGCAATTGTTTATACACTTCATCATAATTATGAAGTTTGATTTAATAAAATTTCAATTAACCGGCATTTATTTCAACTTGATTTTAGCTAACCATACAAATTTTGAACGGAGAATTCAAGATTATTTACAAGTAGTGAATAATATTAATCTACCAAAAGTTGGATTTAACAAAGGATATAAATACGAAGGTGTGTTACAATTCGTAGAAAATAATTCCTGATAAACTTGTTTTATACGTTTAAACATTTTTATAAAATATCAGTAAAGTCTGTCTAACTGATGTCGTGAAATTTCTCATCTATGTACTACATTCCTCGTAGTTGAATGTAATGACGTGTTTTATCTTTGACGGGGCTGAATTCATCAGTTTGACACTGAATCAGTTTTCAAGACTCAAGTTTAATTTTGCGTTATTTTCAAAGGTTAAAATTTTTCTACTGATTAGACTAAATGTCGAATATATTCAGCATTTTGTTTATTAGGAGAAGCTTATCAGATAGAGTTATTAAGCAAAGTAACTTTTAGAAGGTCTCCGTATATTTTCATGAAATTTTGTTTAGAAACTGAAATCAGCCTGACAAACCTTAGAAAACAAGGTGATGCACAACAGGATAAATAAGCTTATTAATCTTCTTCTTAGTTCGCTAGCTGTCGTCAGTTAGTAATGAGATCATATTTAAAATATGCAAAGCTACATATAAGTAAACAAATAACGTATAAATCAACAAAAGGATTTTGAAAACTGAAACACAAGCAAATACAAAGAAGTAGAGAATTACTCCTCAATTAATGACCACAAATGCATTTAAAATCTCACAGTCAATATTATTTTTAAAAAGTATATAGTAAAACTGACATCTATATTCATACATGCATATGCGTTATACGAATAATGTCGTTCATAAAAGAAATATTCTTTTAGTCCAGCAGTGTATGATTGTTGTAATGACGTGAATAATATATGCTATTGATTTTCACTAAACATCGAAATAACTAAAGCACATGATGATCGAGGTTGGACTAGAATGGATTACTTCATAGAGAGCTTAACCGATAACTCCAAAACAAGTTGCACTTTATGTTGTCAGATCAAATACTTCACTTTATAAGTATGTTTAGAAACCTCATTTGATAGACATAACAAAATAAAACAAAGTGATTGGTCTAAATGGTCAGTATTCTCAACAATATAGTTTAAGGATAGATGAGAAATGAACAACCATGCTCAGTAATTTCATTCGTGAGTTTGATTGAAAACCATAGTTTATCTTGAATTTGTATATTATGAATGACTTTGAATTACCAATAAACCTATCTCATTTTTATTTTAAACAGTAATAATTTTTGTTAAAAAATGTTTGTAGAACCCAACCCATTGGATCGGTTTGATGTTGTATTCTGGGCAGGTGATTTAAATTTTCGAATACAACGACCAAGACATATTGTCGAAAACATAATTAAAGGAAAATATAAGCATAGAACATTTGAAGAACTTTTATCGGTTGATGAATTACTCAATGCACAGTCACAAGGTAAACATTGAATATTTTTCAAAACATTCATTACACAGTAAGCACATGATTCATTTAAGAAAAAGATATAGTTATGGATCACATATCTTATTTACATGACCCTATTCATTAACCTTCAATAAGACATTAAAGTAGTATGTGTCGTTATATTCCACAAAATATGCGTAATTCATAACTTTATAAACAAATGTGTAAACTTTGCTGATATATTCGTTTATTTATATCTTGAAGGACATATTCAGTTATATAATGTAGCTTTACGCAACTCGAAATGCATACGTACTATAAATAATCGAATTTAAAATAGACCAGCAACATTTTCGTCAATTCCAAAATACTTGAGAAACACTCCTGACAGCCGTAATCATATACTTATAGTTTTTTTAACGCAGTAACATGGACGAGTAGTTGAAATGACAGAAATCCATCTGATGTCATTTCGTAACTAAATGTCTTCTTTACGCTGAACAAATCTTTAAAAACTGCTTCATGAATTTGCAGCCAAATAGGTTTAATAATTTATTCCCTGGGGTTGCTATGACAACATTAAGCCCGTAAAGTTCACCAAGTTGAATAGAAGAGGAATGACTACTAGTGATACTAGATGATGATAACTGACTAAAGTTAAAAATTATGAATTACCGGTTTCTTGCCTAATCGCTAAATGATATCTTTACAATTGAGAGATATCAAGTATTTTTCAGGTTTAATCTCTTGTAGAGCCATTATTGGTAACTGTCAATTAGCAAAAAACCGTTCTTTAACAAGCTAACCTTAAATGCTTCCCCATATATTGTGTATTTATCAATAAAACTAATGTTTTTCTTAATTCGAATGGATAAATTTTCTGTTTTTCTTGATAATCAATCCAAATAATTGTTTTGTTTCATATTGATTTATTCTATACTCCTACTAATCTTAAAAACCTATATGTCAACCAATATAAATAATACAAATGGAATATCTGAATATTATAAAACTGAAAGATTCTACAGAAAACTTACTAAAAATTAAGATGCTTACACTTGATTTAAATAAATTAACAAATGATAGACAGAGCCCTATGGATCTTTTACGAAACTAAATTCCAATCAGATATATCTGCTAAAAGTCATTATTTCAGTACATTTAAACAGATTAATAAATAAATCAATATTCGCAATAAACACAACTATTACTAAAGGATGTAGTCTATTTATTCATGTATTTTATAAATATTCAGATGGATAGATATCCACATAAAATAGTAAATCCATCTGGATAAAACGAGATAAGATACGTATCCATGAATGTGTAGTGCATCTGTTCCTCAATATTTAATGTGAATGACATCAAACATTTTCGGGAATTTTTCTATTCAATTAGTTGGTGAGTAAGGCATGTATGAGCACAATTTTTTCCAAAAATTTCGCTTCAAACTCTAAATTACTATTATTCACTGTTCATTTGGCAAGTTAGGGACTGTTACATTGGTGTATTCATAGAGGGCATATGTGGATTGATTTAGATGGTTGGAATAAAGTCCTCGGTGAAAGTCGTGTTTTTACATGCAGCATTACCCACTGAATAAATAGAAAAGATGCTTAGGAATGGTAAATATCAGAGTTTCGTTAAATATCAAAAGGGTGGTTAACTTCATACCATAAAACTACCATTCCTAAAATGCTACTTTTCTCGAATATTTCATAGTTCATCGACTTGTTTGAGAAAATGATAATCAACGAGGAGGAGTAATGAACACATACAAAAACAGTGTAGTCGGTATTATATAGATGGTTGCTGAGTTAAATATTTAAGCTTTACAGGAAGCAAAAGTGTATATGCTAATGCATCGTATAAACTAGTCCTATGCCGTAATTATCTTCATGGCTCTGTATTGAAAGTGTACAGTTTTCGATAATTGAAAAAATAAGTATGAACGCCACTTATAAGTTTTAATCCAGTCTAGAAAACTGTTGCCATTATTTGGATATTTTCAGTAGATTGCATGGCATCAGATTGGAAATTATTATCCTCATTACTAGGTACTGTCTATGGTAGTAATAAATACCTACAGTATTGTGATATCCTAATTATCATTCAATCCTTGGATTCCTAACTTCACATATTTGATACATAACGTTAAGCAGTTTGTTTTTGAAATAAATTTTCTGTAGGCTCACCTAAATAATGTATGTTTACATAGTTTTTAAAGCTTACGACACTCCATCATAAATGCTTTCCGTATAGCATAGACATTAAGAAACAAAATGTAATGCGATTCGTTATTCAATACAAGAGTGTGTAGTAAACTATTTTCTATACCCACTGTGTAAACAGTTTATCACTCGGCAGTTGAAACCAAGCAAGGTTCAAACATATGACTTGACAGGCTGTATTAGGTTTTATACAATTTATCTACATTTTCGAAAAATACCCACTGATACGGATTCATAACTCTCAAAACCTGTAGTTCAATACTTTCGATCTAATTTTACACCATGATGTAATGGATTATTCTAAAATTGTGAATCTGTCCTGATAATTACAACCTAATCTTTGTTTTATATAGTCAAGCGAAAATTGAATCTTCAATTAGAATGTCACTTTATCTATCTCATTTCAGGAAACCGTAAAGTATTTCCAACTCATAAACTATATCTTAAAGCTCGGTATACAAATCTGTACTTTATAAATAGGTCTACAAAACAATAGTAGAAAGTGAAATTTCAGTTGCTGCGAAAACTTCAACCTAACTTCTGTGATTACGGAGAATGTAAACCGCCTGAAAATTCTATATATACAGATCAGTACTACTTCGTTTTTAGCATGTTTTTGCATCGGTCTCTTTTTTCTTCAGTCTATCCATCAATTCTAAATTGCAGAAAGGGTTTTTATACATACTGACTATTGTGAAATTAATAAAATTAAGGCGTAATTTGTGTGTTCTGTTTATTACATTTGAATCTTGAGAGCAGATCTGTATAATTTTAGTCTGAAAAGAAATGTTAGCTAAATTAATAAATTCCAACTTAACAAGTGTATATGCCTCAGGTTGATAGCAATAAAAATAATCTCATCCTAAACCTTATCTTATATCTTCGAGAGAAATGGACGTACGACTTCAAGATTGCAAAAAAAAACTAGTATGTTTATTTTCAGTAAATTATCCTGGTTTATTGGATAATTGAAAATTCAATTTCAAATATGTTTTATTTCTTAAAAGGTATCATCTTTCATAATTTTGATGAAGGCCGTATTCGCTTCCCTCCAACTTACAAATTTGATCTCAATTCAGATGTTTACGATTCGTCAGAAAAACAACGCGTTCCATCATACACAGTAAGTAATAGGGACTTCTTTTCATCATCGTTACATCCTGACTGAATAAATCAGTAATAATGGTATTAAAAATCAAATATCGAGTTTACCGCATTTGACATCAGGACTATTTGAAGGAAACAAGCAATATAAAAAGTGGTGACAATAATAATAGCAATCATAGTTTGACCACAGGCCACTGATGTGAGGAATGTTTATTTAGATAAATTACACTTCGTTTTCAAACGTTCATTTGCATCTTATATGTTCTGCAATCCAAGTCGCTTCTAGACTGTCATCTTACACTTCCCTTCTGTTCTCCGAGGTATTACGCATACGCTTCTCTTTCGCCACAATAATAAAGCACTAAACACGAGAAACTCAGTTCTCGAATCTAAAAAGTATAGTGATTAACAACGTGGATTGCCAAGTTAACGATTGAATCGAATATATAGGCTAAGTTCACCTGTCTGTAAGAGTATTTCAGTCGTACAGTGCCATCAACCATGAACTATGGTTGCCTTAACAACAAGGATTAAGCCCATATCTTTGTCCGGTTACCCTCAATATTACCCCCGTTGACACGGTGGATTGATGGAAGAAATTGTTAGCTAGTGTTAACATATATTCTAACTAAATTAAATAACTAGTATTAGTCAAGCGGTTGCAGTATGGCAAATCAAAAAAACATTTGCCATCTCATGCTGTTCGTTGTCTCAAAATAAATTATGCACATTTAGATTTAAAGTTATGTCACTGACATCGGAGAGGAAAAAAACTTGATCGGACAAGTTAAGTGTGGTTGTAAATGTACATCACTCCGACAGTTTTTATTTGATTCAATATAACTAAGTACAACTGAATAGTTTAGAACCATGATAATGAAACAATAGTATCAGTATCAATTTTCAGTGATTCTTCTGCTTAATTCAGATCATGACGAAAATTATATGTAAATCTATTATGGTAGCATTTTCAGACTTTATAATTTGATAATACTTTGTTGATCTAAAAACCTAACTATATACATGATAATAAACTAATGGTTTATTCATTATGTTTGACAAAATTATTTCGCTGTACATTTTTCTTGTTTACTTTTCTGTCATTATGTCTTCTTGCATTTCTTTTTGTGTTTATTCAACATATAGGACAGAATATTGTTCATGTCAAAAAAGAAAGGCAATTTGATCTGCTTGGATTACAACAGTATTAATACAATACGTTCATCGGATCATAGACCTGTGTTCGCACTATTCAGTTTAGTTTTAAGACCTGGGTCTGATAAGTAAGTTTTGAAGGAAAAAGTTGTAACTAGCTAACAACCTATGTATAAACTTTTGCCTGAGCTATTAAAGTTTGATTTTACCGTTCGTATCGGTATCAATAACCATAAATATACAAAGATGTTAAATTCATGACTTTTGAATGAACAGAGAAAATTCCAATAAAGTTCTCATCTGGGATAAGATTCTGAATAAATATAATGAAGTGTACTGTGATGGGCTATATATATCAGTACATCAATCTCTCACCTACCATCTACATTATTCACAGTTCCAATACATGAAGTAATGTCTTCTCCTTAACTGGAAGACAACATTTAGCAACCTACTTGAAATTATACAGCGCTAGAGAAAAATATCTAAACAATCATCTTCACTCGGAACTTAAATCATTCATATAATTTTAAGACACATTTTCAAAATACGTCAAAGTATCATCTCTTTTTAATGATGGATTTATCAATAAAAACTATAGACAACTTAACTTTACCCATGGTTGACTTAACTGTACAAAACTGAAAACTATCGTTCGGGAACTCCGGCTATGAGAGGTGGCGTTTTCACTAAAATAACTTAAAAGACAGAAACCAACTAGATAAACAAGACTAACAGCGAAAAGTAGCTAATGTTAGTTTATGGAGTTAATTTTAGCAATAAAACTGTGTATGCAATCAAAGACTACGTTTTTGGAGATCTAAGAGCTGATTTTTGACTAGGCACTCTGTTGTTAGAAATACAGGCGGAAAATATACGCATAATTGGAATAGTTTGTTTTATACTCCAAACACTTGCCATATAACTGAAATCTGTAGTTCTCGAAATAGGCTTTGCTTTCCAAGGTCATTCGCAGATTATATGCACATGTATTGCATATTGCTTTTTTATGGACAGTAATATTTGTGTTTCAAAAGAACAGCCCTCCTCTTTGTATCATAAATGCATTACCAGTGCCCGACTTGTTTTTGCCCAGTGTATCTTTACTTCTTAATAGACTGATACAAATTTAATAATTAGCTTGATATCCAGCCTATAAAATGAGGAATACATCAAAAGAATATTTACGACCCAATGATTATGGGATATTATTTGACCACGCAATGACTACTGACAGCCGACAATCCCCAACAATGGAAATTCATTATCAATTATCGGACGGACGATTGTATTGTACTGAATGGAACAATAATTAAACCGGATTGTTATGATGGGTAATTGAACCTAAAATTGGAGGCCGCAAATCCCTTACTTAGTTTACGAGAAAGGTGAAGTACAAAGAGACACTTCCCTAATAAACATATACTCACAACATAATCCGCTTAGTTTTAAACTATAAGCAGTGTATATAATAAATATTATTCCTAATTTTTGATTAAATGTTGGTTGTTACTCATTAACCGATAAACTTTTTCTTCACAGCATTGCGCTAGCAGCTGGTGCATTTAATAGAGAGGTATACATAGCAGGTATGTTAAAGAAAGTTTAAATAAATTTGTTAAGTATAGAATCAAATTTTGTATGTGACAATGAATTCTATGGACCCAATCCACTGACTAGCCTCTTGTTGCTATGTCACATTCGGAACTCTTACCATGCTACTGAATTTTAGTAGATGCAAGTGATTTTATGATGCGTTTTAAATCAATCTTTTGCCATCAAAGCATATATGCTCGCACTATTGTTTGACATTCATGAAAGAGAGATTATCTGTAAGTAAAATGCTAATTTCAGTCTCAAATAACGCATAAGATTGGTTAACTGTCTCTTTTGGACTTCATAAAAATGAATATCAATCCCTTTTCCACTTCTTTCGAAGTGATACGATTATGTTACTTCAAATCTAGACAAAATGTACAGATTTTTTCCGTACTCTTATCATTTTCCAAAACTTGGACACTTGTTTTTTAGCTTGCACTAATATTATCATCTCAGTAGTTAGCTACTTGTATCACAACTCATATCTTTACCTTAGTTGAAAAGTCTGCGAGAAATATAGTAATAAGTATTAAAAATATTTTACTGACGAATTTCATGATAATAACCTAATATTGAATGTAAAACTCTTACTTTTATTATATTAATGACGTCCACAGAAATCTCAGTTACGTCTTATAACTGATTATTTGAACTAAATAAAGAAATACAGTGCAATATATATTGCCGAAAATTAGATTATTTCCAAAATGGTAAACGCCTAATTAAGTTTTGCCCCTGGTCAAAAAGTCATATAAAAATTTAACATACTAGCCATTATTTTCGGATATTTAATTTAACTAGGGTGTTACTATATTAACAGTAGTCAGAGAATAATTCCTGTTTCAATTCTTCATATATATTCGAATTGTGAATTTGTTTTACTAGGCAATCAACGTCGTGCTCTACGTTTAGATAAACTAAAATCAGGAAAAAGTACAATTCATGCTAGAGTTTGCACTATTCAATGAGATTTTCATAACGACAAAAATGGATAAGGATGTAAATAAATTATAACATTTGAAACAATTATTTCATGTACAAGCTACTAATTTTCTATTCAAATAAATTATTTTTTAATGTTGTTTTTTTAGTCATTTCAATTCACTAGCCTTGGATAGGGTTCTAGATGATAAATTCAATCTTTTAGCATACAAACACTGAAAAATATTAACATTTAGCTGTGAATATAGTTAATTATGCATTATGTGACTGAAGGATGACTAAATAGTATTTGCGAAAAACTAATCGAAATTACATCGTTGTCAGTGCGTTTCATGACACTTACCTTCAACTTGTATAAAACATGAAATATATAATGAACACATAAGTAAATGATGAAATATAAAAGAAAAACGGCCCTGGCCCAGACTAGGTTTACTAAGGAATGGATTCTCTTGCTTATCTTACATTTTGACCTAGGATTTGTATGAACAGTTCGAATCCAAACCTACATTATATTAAACATCTTAAGTAACTTACATTTAGTTTCATAAATGTTGTGAATATTAAGTGGATTAAGAACTTGTTAGTCTGAGCTTAATTGAACTTTAACCGTTTCTGGATCGGTCCTAAGTGTCCTTTCTCTTCAAATCTAGGCTCTGAAGAAACTACATTGCCTACCGATAGAAAGAGTGTGTATAGAACTACTGGTCATCCTGACTGACTGAATTGCTGTAATGAATAAGTGCTTCAGTGATTAACAGGCTCAACATACTGAACCGATTAATATAAGCAAATGGTCTGTACATGTTACCGAAATTCGGAAATGTGGGATTGTTCCTAGTTTATTTTATATTAACACATAGATATTGGTACAAGGACGCATCAAATACATATGCGCCACACAAATCTCATTTCCTTTGTGTGAGGGCTGTGATACTGCCCGGGTGCCCAAACCGAAGCAGGTGGTTTTCTTAGGGGGCCACACCCCGAGCCTTCTACCTGAAGATCTGACCCACAAGGCAGTGGAGCATCGTAAGGAGATGCAGTCCCATGGCAGCCGGTGACCAAAGATTGGTTCATACGCCATTTGCCCCCAAATGCCCTGGTACGGCCGAGAGTGGGGAGAGTCCGCTCTCCCTCTCGAAATGCTCTCACATGGCCACGTGTATACAGCCTCTGCCAGGGAAGTCCTACTCACTGCCTTCTCGTGGCGGGGGTGTTGTCTACGAAAATGAGAGGACGAAAAGCAAATGTCCGGCGCTTTAACCGGACCCCAAACCAATGGTGCACATAGGCTCCAGTATTCTGAAGGAACAAATGGCGTATGAACCAATCGTTGGTCACCGGCTGCCATGGGACTGCATCTCCTCACGATGCTCCACTGCCTTGTGGGTCAGATCTTCAGGTAGAAGGCTCGGGGTGTGGCCCCCTAAGAAAACCACCTGCTTCGGTTTGGGCACCCGGGCAGTATCACAGCCCTCACACAAAGGAAATGAGATTTGTGTGGCGCATATGTATTTGATGCGTCCTTGTACCAATATCTATGTGTTAATATAAAGCCCATGTTCATCATTGGTTTGGAATTCGGTTAAAGCGCCAGATATTCGCTTTTCGTCCTCTCATTTTCGTAAATAACACCCCCACTACGTGAAGGCAGAGGCTATATACACGTGGCCACGTGAGAGCATTTCGAGGGGGAGAGCGGACTCTCGGCCGTACCATGGCATTTGGGTTCCTAGTAGTTAACTCATAATTAGACTAAAACACAAACTGAATGGTGTGCAGGATTAGTACCTGTTGGCTTACAGTATGTAGGAATAAGGCCCTAAATGTCACTGTAAATAAGTCAAAATCTAAGCCTGGTTAGTTCCATTTCTGTTCACTGTTTTCTGCATGGACAGTAAGATAAACCATAAAATCCCGCCCACGGAATCGTGGATGCGCACTGCTGGAGAGTCCCACACTAGAACAAAACGGCCGTCCAGTGCTTCCAGGTTTCCGACGGTGGTTTAATATCAATCGGTTTCATGATCTGTTAGTGGGACATAGATTGGATTTAAGCATGCTCAATGCACGATTGCTTTGGCGCACGCTGATTGGCTGATTTTTATCCAATCAGCGCTAGTCTATACATGGAGAAGCTTCTAGATTCTTCTTATGTAAAAAGCTATAAATATACTAACGGTTTTCCTATTTCGCTTCTTGCTTCTTGCTTCACCTAACCTTGTTATTTGGAATATAATCTTCCTGCTCAATCGTGTTCTGATTTGGGGCCTTGTCGAGTGAATCTGTGACCGTGAATACTAAGCGATAGGAATAGCTGGGTTATAACCGTAAGAGCGAAAAATATAACAGTGGCGACGAGGAAAAAGGAAAATAAATTCAATATGTCCATATCAGACGACCAGCTTAACCGAATACTACAACAACAGCAACAACAATTAGATGCACAAATGCGGTTGTTAGAGACTCTGACTCAACAGCTTAGCTTCCACTGCTCGAGTTCACATGCCATTTCAAGTACGTCTTGTGATGCAGTTGCTAGCAGCATACCAGAATTCATCTATGATCCCGAAAGCGGAAATACTTTTCTCACGTGGTTCAAACGTTGGGAAGATACATTTAGAATAGAATTCTGTAACCAAGACGACGCGTGGAAGACTCGACTGTTGGTACGTAAGTTAGGAATTAATGAACATGCACGCTATGCTGACCATATATTGCCTAAGTTACCTCGAGAGCTCAGTTTCGAGGAGACGATAATTCAATTGTCAGAGATATTCGGTGAATCCTCCTCATTGTTTAGTATTCGACATCAGTGTCTAAATTTGGTGAAACGCGAAGCCGATGAATATGGTGTTTTAGCAGACATCGTCAACAGAGAATGTGAACGGTTCAAGTTACGCTCGTTGACAGAAGACCAATTTAAATGCCTAATATTCATCAAAGCTCTTCAGTCACCACAAGATGCTGAGATCAGGACTAGACTTTTGGCTCGACTAGATCAAGACCCAAACGTCACACTCAGAACGTTAACAGATGAGTGTAAGCGGCTACAAAGCATCAGACACGACAACAAGTTGATTGAACAGGTAAATCCTAATTTAACCTGCAGTAGTGTCAATGCTATTACTAGGTTAAAAGTTAAGAAGCCGATAACAACTCGTAATAAACCAACGACTGCATGCTGGTTATGTGGTGATTGGCATTATGTACGATTCTGTCCATTTAAAAAGCATATATGTCAGGTGTGCAGCAAACGTGGACATAAAGAAGGTCATTGTCCACCGAATCGTACGTCTCATCCCAAAAAGAAGCATAAACGTTCTCGACATGTGAAATCAGCCGAGTTTAAATCTCTTTCTCTGGTAGCTGCCTTTCAAACAAACTATGACATTCGGAGAAAGTATGTTACCATCCAGATAAACGGCATATCAGCTCGTCTTCAAATTGACACGGCATCAGATATCACCTTAGTATCTAGAGAAACGTATAACTTGCTGGGTAAACCGCCAATGAAGCCATCTAAGAAAACGGCCAAAAACGCATCAGGTGGTGTGCTAAAACTGGTTGGTGAATTACAGTGTGAATTTTCCTTCAATGGAACTAACTGTACAGGAATATGTTACCTAACAGAACGGCCAAACCTTGATCTTCTTGGTCTAGATATGTTAGATAAACTTGGAATAATGGATGTACCGATTAACAGTGTCTGCAACGTATTGTGTTCATCATTAGACACCCCAGTACTTGCAAAGAAGACATGTGAAAGGTTACTAGAAAAACTGAAAAGAAAGTTTGCCTCTGTTTTTCAGAATAGCCTTGGCCACTGTACCAAGATGAAAGCTCATTTACCACTGAAACCAGATGCCAAACCTATTTTTCGTCCTAGACGTCCTGTACCATATGCTGCTCTTGAGTTAGTCGATCAGGAACTTAATCGCTTGCAACAGGCTGGTGTAATTCAAACAGTCAACTACTCTGCATGGGCCGCACCGATCGTAGTGATTAAGAAGGCGAATGGAACTATACGCATATGTGCCGATTTCTCGACCGGTTTAAATGCTGCATTAGATGTGTATCAATATCCATTACCAGTTCCTGAAGACCTGTTTGCCAAACTTAATGGTGGGACATGTTTCGCGAAAATAGACTTTTCCGATGCCTATCTACAAGTAGAAGTAGATGAAGACAGTAGAGAGCTTTTGACCATTAACACTCATCGAGGGTTATTTCAATACACCCGTCTACCATTTGGCATCAAGACTGCACCTGCCATCTTTCAGCAAATAATGGATACGATGCTAACAGGTATACCTGGTACAGCAGCTTATCTAGATGATATCATAGTTATGGGTTCAACTGACAATGAACTTTCTGATCGACTATATCAAGTCCTTAACCGAGTGTTGGAATATGGTTTCCAACTACGTGAGGAAAAGTGTACTTTCTTTATGCATTCCATCAAATACCTTGGTTTTATCTTAGATAAGAACGGTCGCCGACCAGACCCTGCCAACATCGAAGCCATTCAGAAGATGCCTGCACCAACTGATGTCTCTTCATTAAGATCCTTCTTGGGGTTAATCAGTCACTATAGCACATTCTTGCCTGAAATGCATCGAGTGAGAGGTCCGCTGAATGAATTACTATCAAAAGATAAACCTTGGCAGTGGTCAGCAGAATGTCAAGCATCTTTCGACAGAGTCAAATCAATGCTCAGCTCAAAGATTCTTTTGACACACTTCGATCCCAGCTTGGAAATTGTTGTTGCATCTGATGCATCTAGTCATGGAGTTGGAGCAGTAATATCTCACGTGTTTCCGGACAAATCAGAAAAGACAATTGCCCATGCTGCTAGATCACTTACCCCAGCCGAGCGGAACTACAGTCAAATTGAAAAGGAAGCTCTTGCGATCATTTTCGCTGTCAAAAGATTTCATAAAATGCTCTATGGTCGTACATTTACTCTACTGACAGATCACAAACCTTTGATTGCAATCTTTGGTTCTAAGAAAGGAATCCCTGTCTATACGGCTAATAGACTACAGCGCTGGGCAACAATGCTCCTGAGTTATGATTTCAATATCAAGTATCAGTCGACAAATACTATCGGTCAAGCCGACGCTCTCTCTCGATTAATTGGAGTTCAGCATCCTGGACCAGAGGATATAATCATTGCCTCCATAGCAGTAGACCCAGAAATACGAAGTATAGTGGCAGATGCCATTCGAAACACTCCAGTGTCGTCAGATGAAGTCAGAGAAGAAACTCTTCGAGACCCGATTCTACAAGAAGTTAGAAAGTTCCACCTGGAAGGATGGCCCACGAAGATCAGTTCCACAGAGCTTCAACAGTTTTACCAGCGTAAACTCTCTCTCTCAATCATCGACGACTGCCTGCTGTTTGCAGAACGTGTCATAATCCCAAAGAAGCTACAACCAGCAGTGCTTGAACAGTTGCACGCAGGACATCCTGGAATAAATCGCATGAAAGCATTAGCACGAAGTTATGTATACTGGCCGCATTTAGACACTCAACTGGAGCAGCTATCCCGTTCATGTACCAAATGTGCATTAGCAACGAAAGCACCGCGGAAAGCAGAGCTGCAATCATGGCCAATACCACAGTCACCGTGGCAGCGTATACACTTGGACTTTGCTGGTCCACTTCATGGACAAACTTACCTTTTGGTAGTTGATGCATATAGCAAGTGGCCAGAAATCTTTCTCATGGAACACCCGACTGCAAGCTGCACAGTCAGTAAGCTACGTCAACTATTCAGTCGTTTCGGAGTCCCGGAATTGATAGTTAGTGACAACGGAACACAGTTTACGTCCGTAATTTTCTCACAATTTTGTCGGCAGAACGGAATCCATCACGTCCGAACACCTCCATTCCATCCCCAATCAAATGGTCAAGTGGAACGCTTTGTGAGTACATTTAAAAATGCTCTAAAAAAATCTAAAGGGGAGGGGACCACCGAAGAGATCTTAGAGAGGTTCCTGCTTATTTATCGCTCGACACCGAACCCTCAGACGATTAAGGGGGTCTCTCCAGCAGAAGCTCTACTTGGCAGAAAAATACGAACACATTTCGATGTCATCCGTCCTACGCCAGCTCTTGAGCCTCAACGAAACCTATCTATGGAGAATCAGTTCAATCGACATCATGGGGCACAAAAACGATTGTTCACGGTGGGACAAAAAGTACTTGCTATGGACTATCGTGAGAAACATCCTACATGGACAGCTGGTCGGATCTTGAAAAAGAAGGGGAGTGTGGTTTATGAGGTGTCAGTTGGCTCAGAAGTTTGGGTACGTCATGCTAACCAATTGAAAGCAACTTCGATAGCCAGCAACGAGATTCAATATCGATTACCTCTTGATGTTCTGCTAGACACCTTTGAAATCAAAACGCCTGGAACAGACAGGTCAGTTTCTGTGCAAGCAAAGAGTGATACTTCTTTATTGCCTAGACGATGGACAAATCGAAAGCACAGGCCAGTCACTCGGTTGCAGTTGGACCCTAGCACCAGATCCTACGAATCTGCTCAAAGGGGAGGTGTTAGTGGGACATAGATTGGATTTAAGCATGCTCAATGCACGATTGCTTTGGCGCACGCTGATTGGCTGATTTTTATCCAATCAGCGCTAGTCTATACATGGAGAAGCTTCTAGATTCTTCTTATGTAAAAAGCTATAAATATACTAACGGTTTTCCTATTTCGCTTCTTGCTTCTTGCTTCACCTAACCTTGTTATTTGGAATATAATCTTCCTGCTCAATCGTGTTCTGATTTGGGGCCTTGTCGAGTGAATCTGTGACCGTGAATACTAAGCGATAGGAATAGCTGGGTTATAACCGTAAGAGCGAAAATATAACATGATCTCAATCAAAAAACTTAATATTCTCCATAACCCCAGTGCTGATAATTAACGATATTATTTTATATGACAAACCAACCTTGTTTCACATGCTACAATTTTAAATGATGTACTCTGTCTTAAACCTGGCCAATTTTATGGATTGTTAATTTGGATATATATAATTGTAGAACCTGATGAGAAATTATTGAAAATATTTTTCGTTCATATAATTGTTTTATTATAATGGGAATTTTTCAGCACTATAAACCTCAACAAAATTCTCGGGTATTGTTGTTCAGTTTTTATAGCGTCACTTCTGTACGATTCTATATTCCTCATATCACAGTCGTTCTTTAAGTGATGTACTACAATTTATCTATGCTTTTCATGATACTAAATTGAAGTGTATGTGGTATCTGATTTACATGTAGTGACTTATTATAACAAGTTCCTGAATAAATTAATCGTAGTCAACACCTTTTTAAACCATAAATCTGTACAAACTGAACATGTCATCGACAGATCAAACTTTCCATCGAGTCAGAATGCCTAAATGTTGAAAATCTATGACTAAACTCTTAATACACAGTCAAAGTGGATACACACCAACGGTGCATCAGTCAATTTAATTTTCCTTATTTCTTTAATTCAACAGTTATAAGACACGCCTCTAAACGCTTGGTTGGTGCTCAACACATAGAAAGAAGATTAAGACAGATTTACTTCCGAAACCTAAATAATTAAGCTTATTATGCATGTATTCGAACAGGAAAATGTAGGCAGTAACCCTGATCAGATGTATGCACAATAGGCCGAACAGAAGTTCCTCACTCATTGTGTCGCTTACAGATAGTATATGGTCTGTTTGATATTGGTCAGAAAATCATCCTAAGTAGCTGCATAACATATTTTTATCAAGTTCCCTAATCCCTATTTTTTCCATAATTATGAGCAAATATAGAACCAAGAATCAAATCAACCGGAGATACGATCAAAACAAGGAAGCAAATAATGAAAGCCTAAAAGTCGACAATAATCAACCAAGATCGAGATCTACAGGACAAGCTGGAAGTCATATGTGGAGAAATTCGAACACTTTACTTCTACTCGAAGTTTCTGCTGATGATGTCATTTAGAAGAACGACGAAAGCTCCGAGGCCAAGCCATCCAGCTCAAAGAACAAAACTTCACCAAAAACTAATACGCACTCGTACCAGGTCTTACGCACAACACTACATGGTCATTAAATACGAGGCCATCTTGCCCCAACTAAACCATACGCTAAAAGGAGTCCCAAGTCACTCATTAGTTAGTTGTATATTTCATAATCATTACGTTTCTATCCAATAATAAACTTTGAAGCAACTGGAATTTACATGGGGAAGGTATCGAAACTGAAATCTAATGACATGACATCAAATATAGATAGTCTATACGTTGGCATAAAAACTAAAGGGAACAAAATATAAGAGGGCACTAGAATAATATATAAAAATAGGAAGAGTCTAGACGACCAAATATCAGGAAAAAGTCGATAAGCGTTCTTCAATGTAAGGCAACAACTTTTCTGGAGAACCACGAGTAAAGCCAACAAAGCCAGCTTGCTCTGGTGGAATTTCAGGGCCCAATAACCTCTTAATTTCAGCCAATGGCATATTCTAAACACCGGGAAACAAAATTATGATGGATATCCAAAGGCTTACCTTATTGCACAAAAACTGAGAAGGATAACTGGACTCATTACCTGTCCATATCAAATGGTTAAGTGATGCAGGAGTACAAACTAGAGCATGTTTTCTTTGCAACAGAGTAAGTGCAAGTTCCTCTTGATGATTATCCATCAACGTGTCATTTACAACGACGATTAGTCGGCGACTTCCAAATGGAGTAAGAGCCTGGATACAAGTGCCTGCGCCGCCATGACTAATAACTAATGACGCACTTTTAAACTCATCAACAAGAGAATCTTTGTATCGAAAGGATTTGATGCGTAAGAAGGGAGTTGTAGACAAATGTTCAGTATTTTCGGCACAAATATCTTCCGGATTACGGGGTGCGACAGATCCACTTCCATATTGTATTATCAGATCTTTATATCCCAATCTTGAAAGACCTTCATGGAATTCGACTTTATTGACCTCATTAATCAGCCCATCAAATGAAGTCGTGCCAACAGTAACGAATGCAACGGCCATTTCTTAAGATCAACAAATGGTACTCATAAAATAAGCAAATATCTGACACTCGTATGTCCTACTTGGAAGTACTATATTTAAGACCAGACAACCTAATCTTTTTATCTACCTAAAACGAGATAAAATACAATGCACACATACTGGTTGAAGACAGCAACGGTAAAAAGCGTGCCTGAGTGATGCACACTCACGAGGAAAGTTCTCACGTTCTAAACACTCTCGAGGAGTGAGCTTTTTCTAAAACATGGTATGACGTTAACAGGACATACGTCTTGACAACAGGAACTACGTAGTAAACAGAATAGTAAATCCGCCTTCTGTTCTTCACAAGGTCCTTTTTCTTTCATTCACGTAAGCTGATTGGTAAAGCCTTGTATCCGACTATTCTGAAATACAAAACGAGATGTTTACTCAGACAAATTACTATACAGATAAGTACAGTGAATTTCGTTGCACTTCAGTGCGTTACCAAGTCAAAAATGATTATTAGTAAAATAAGGAATTCATATAAATATTATGGGATTGTCCCACACATGGACTAAATAAATGCTTTCTTTATACACCAAGAAAAATCAAGAACTTTTCTAACATAGGACCTCGAACAGATTTCCGATGAATGAGAGATATAGTACAGAGAATCTACCTCAACTTAGGACAATTAAAAGCAGTCAGAGTAACATAAACGATATATCAGGAAAGGAGAAGCTATGAATGGACGAACACGTCCAAATTATGGAAGACGAGGCGCAAACGCAACTCGACAGCATAAGAAAATTAAGGGCTATGATACGTACCAGCATTACTATCCAGTGGCATAAGTACTGAATACGTGACAACTTATTAACGCATTTTAACTCAATTTGTATTTTAGTTTGGGAGCCCAATCAACCAACAAAGGGGAAATAAAGGCGAACAAACAGGAAGATGCGTTGGAAAATAATGGAGAAGCACGCCAAATTGTCTGCATTTTCGCCTGTATGGGGGAAATAATGCGGATTTTCCCCCTTTTGTAGGTATTTCAAACGTCGCCGAATCGTCTACATTTCGCCTAAAAATACGCCGAATTGTCTGCTTCTGCTTCAACTTGCATTAGTAGGAGTAAGAATGTCAAAACTTCCAAATACTATAGTATACACTATTGTGTATACACAGCACCTTGTCTAAAATAGCATACTGAGAAGAATAACTATACCGAAAGTAAAATCTACATGAATCAATTCAAGTTTAACCATTACACAATGATCATTTCCTTACACAAATAATGAAGATAAAAGGCCTTTTACCTTCACACTGCACACCGCGGTGTGAAGTGAGCGGATTGTAAATGTTGATCAACATTGATGAGATGCTCATGAATGCAGGCCTCTAAAAGGAATTTATTGCTTGCACAAATAATATAACATTTGAAGCCAATATCACTTTAAGTCCATTGTTCCTCTTCAGCATAAATTACCCCTCACACATCCTTACTTTTTAAACCAACAACCTTACTATGACTGTTCAAGGTCAAATGATGTAAATGGATTGAGTAATACTGAACGAAGTAATAAACTCCGGTTTTCTACATTTCGTGTAACGCAGCAGCAAGATCGATGCTTTCATGTAGGAACCTGGGCGAATAAAATGATCATAAATAAAGGGAGTATTAGTAGGTAAATTGGGGATCCCATTCGAAGTCTTCAAATACTGTCATGTTTCTTTATGAATTTCAAGCGGTAAATAAATCCTCAAACTAAATAGTTCTGTAGCTCTTCGAAATTTGACGCCAACCTCGTTAGTTTTTCGGACACATCTAGCTGAAGGCGCTCGGTCATGAATCTGTACCATATAATAAATAAGAACTTTCGTCCAAATTTGAACGAATAGTTTCACAATATTTGGGCGCCGAGTTAATGTGAGACATTAAAGAGAAAAAATGTATTTGTAAAATCTCAGCGAATGAATTTTAAGTAAATCCAACGTACCATATAATGAACGAGTACTCAGTGCTTCACACCTCTTACAACATTTAGCTAGCTTAGATCAAACGCTTCCAGATATATTGATAAGCTTCCGAATATATATTAAAACCCCCGATTTGTCACACTCCGATTATGAAAGTGTGAAATGTAAACGCGTTTTCAAACTCCGAATACTTGTGACAACTTATGTGGTGAGCCCAACGTGATCTGGTACATCAATTCATAAAATGTTAGTTTGGTTCTTGTTGGAACCTAATGTATCATTTTTCAAAATATATTTTTACATATCGTGATGTCATTTTCATATTCTCGGATAGTTTTTCCCTCCAATCGGTATATTTTTTCTTCACCATGATGGAACAGACACCCAAGTTACTTAAGATTGAACCCCTTTCGGCTTCCACTATCCAGCCAACGCGATTTCGACCAGACAATATAGAAGCCTGATTCTACTACTAAGATGCTGACTTTCATGGGCACGGCATGACAACCTCAGGTGCACAATTTCTCGCCGCAGTGAAGACACTACCGCGCTATTTTGACACCTATTATGCATACTAGTGACGTCTCGGGACCATACAGAACTTTGAAGGGGTTTATTCCTAGGCCTAAAGACCTAATCAAGCGACCGAGGTCAGGTTAACTTTTCCATAACATCGAGATGTAGCATTTCTCAGAAGCAGACATGTTGTTAAGAATGGGAGAGGTTATTGGTTAACGGACCGTGGACGATGTCCTATTGAAACAGCTTTTGTTATCCAAGCTTCCTCAACAGGTTCAGGCAGTACTTGTCTCGTCTCAAAAAAACGCCGTAGACGAGTTTTCTGCATCTGCAGATCTAATTCTTGTGATCACCATACCTTCTAACGCCGCGGTTTTTACAGTCAAGGAAAAACATAAAACGGCACGAAATGGCGTTACGGAACTCACTCATGCTCTGACACGTTGTCTTAACATTCATCACGATCGAAGACGATCCCAAACTCCTCGAGGAATTTCGTCATAGAAATGATATATCTCTACATCACGAGAAACAGATCACTCTGATTGGTTCTGGTATCATAACCAGTACGGAAAATCTCGGAGTTGCAGAAAGCCTTGTGATTTCCGAACTTTAAGCCGACCCCTAAAAGGTCAGCAATGATCGGCATCCAACTGGTGATTAGCGGCGACTGAATGGGGAAACCATTACCGATCGTAACCCGTTACTGCACATCCACAACTTGACAGCTATCATGAAAGGTAAAACTTTTTTTTCAAAGATCGACTTTGTCGAAGCGGATAGACGAATTCCCATGGCTACAGACGATATAACTCGAGCCCGTCACACGTGCATCCCTTTGGACTCTACAAATCTTTCCTCATGTCTTTCGGTTAAAGAAATACTTCACAATCTTCCCAGAGATTTATCGATGACTTTGCTCGAGGTTTCAACTTCGTACACGCATATGCAGATGATTGCTTGGTTCCAACATCTGGTCCTTGTATACGATTAAGTCGAAAAACATAACATTAATGTAAACATTCAAAAATGCCAAATCGGACCCGTCTTCTTATATTTTCTCGGATACATTTGTAGAATTATGGTCTACTATGATATTAGCACTGCTCTAATAATAGACCTAATCCTGAAATTTTAGATTTATCATGATGTAACTGCCTAATCTATAAGATCTTACGTGTAAGTTACATCATCGTCTACACCAATTCATTGCATTGTAACAATTACCAATAAGTGATAGAGAACAAGCTTAGGCTATAGATGGAACAATATATTTAATATGAATAAAAGACATAACGTAACATTTAGCAGGAGGGACCACGCCTGCATGGTCGAGCCATGCCATAAGATTAACTCGTATTAATTCAATTCACTGTTCCCGCCTTTCCTCATTGTTCGGTATTTCCCAGCGTTTAATGTTGAATGTCTATTTTCTAGTTTGTCTCGTGTTAAGGCTCAATGCCACAACACATTATTATTGCTCAAGGCACCCGCTCATCGGAAAGCAAATTGGTGACCATTATGAACTACCCAGAACAAACCACAATCAAGCAACTACGGACGTTTAACGGCCCAGTAAAATCATATAGATGGTTTACAACGAACTGCGCTCCTCTAACTAGACGATTAACAAATAAAAATTGTAGAAATACGATACTCATTGCGAAAAAAGCACACACTATACTAGCGCACCACAACATAAAAGCGCCGATTTGGATCGCAGAAGACGCATCCTACCCGGCGATTGGAAGAGTTTTGTGACAATCAGTTAGCCATACCTGGCAACCTCTGGTACTCTTCTCGAAACGGTTGCTAGACACAGAATCGAGATATAAAACTCTTGGCAGGAACCTACTAGTCATGTATTGTGTTGTACGGGACTTTTGATACTTTTGAAATCCGTGAATTCACTCTGTTCCTTGAAACTAACCTCTCGCCTCTCTTAGCTCATCTTCAGACAAGTACTCTCCTTGAGAGTCTCAATGACTGGACCAAATTTCGCATTTAATTTCAGATATGCCACACATTTCTGTCCCAAATATGTAGTTGCAAACGCCTTGTCTAGTTTCAGAAAGAAGACACTAATTTTCAGATCGAGTTGTCTTCCACTACCCTGAAACTACGTTTTAAAAAGATAAGAACAGGTAGGGAAACCTTACTATGTGACATATATACGGATAGGTATCGCACAGTCGTACCGAAAGGCTATTGAACTAATGTCCTCAACATGTTGGACAACATTTCCCATCCGGGTTTTTGAGCAGTCATCAAGCTCATAGCAGAACGATTATGTTGGCCGGTTATAAAGTTGGAGTGAGGACGCTCCTATGTAAGCAGCCATAAATCTAAGGTGATTGTACGTAATTAATATTCGTTAGGTTTTTTCGCAACTCACGACGCTAATTTGACTATGTTCATCTGGACTTGGTAGAACCCTTACTAGACTCAAAAGGATACTCTTATCTTTTAACCTGCGTAGACAATTTCCCTCAATGGCCGGAAGAAGTACCCATCAAGGACATTACTACTGAAACAGTGGCCCGCGCCTTCGTCGAACGATGGATAGCAAACTTTGACTGCCCTTCAACCATCACTACAGACTGTGGACGCCATTTCGAAGCTGGACCTTTCCGTTTTCTGACTACAATATTGGGAACCATTTGATTACAAACGACAGCCTGCCGCGCACAAGCAAACGGTTTAGTAGAACGCTTTCACTGACAGCTAAAGGCTTCCCTATCAGCTGTAAATTTTTCACAGTGAACCAACGCCCTTCCACTCGTCTTACTGGGTATTCGAAATCCAGTGAAAACTGACATTGGATACAATGCAGCTCAACTGTTTTACGGAATGACACTTCGACTTCTAAGAGAATTCGTGGATCTTTCATCTTCGATGAATATGCATATAGGCTCTTACATAAGCCGACCTACAAACTCCGTGCGTCCAGATAAACCTGTTTCCACTTGATCGTAATCACCTGATGTTTTCTTTCGACCTGACTTAGAACACAGTACACACAGTTGTAAGTCATGACTCATTACGTCGACCTTTTGAAACAGCATACAATGGATCCTTCAAAGTCCTTCATCGTAAACTTGAGCACTACATCATCGATGAGAATGCGGCTAAGGATAGCATCAGCATCGGTCGCCCCGAAACCATGTATTTAGAAGGGTAACGTAATCACGTTGACTCTTTCCTCCTGTACAATCGAACGACACGAGCCTCACAACTACGATACCCCACCCGACAATCAGCATTCATGAAGAAACTTCGGTGGTATCTGACAGTTAGTCTCAAACAACGAGTTCTGGATGAAGGATAAGGTTTCCTCAACACTTAGTTAATTACTGATGGTGGGGCGTAAAACGTAAATCTTTGTTTCATCTAGGTTTTTCAACATTGCGTTTATAAAGAACTGAAGACAAGTATTTTTACCAATATGCCCATATATGTGTATATATGCCTATGTTTCTACAAAAATAATCCGAACAAATTGTTATGAGAAAATCGTTTCTGAGCTGTTTGACGTCAATGATTTTCGTGTGTACGAGTTTATTTTATGTCCTCATGCAAGAGCAAAAGTATTTCGACGAACATCTACGATTTCTGTTTTTCTTTTCCTGGATGGTTGGGAAAGAGGAAAACCGGCGAAGATAATGTTGAATAGAAATCTTCATTGATTTTTCGTTTCTATATTGTACTTCATGATACCTTACAGTAGAGAAAACCGACCGGACGCTGCTGGATGTGACAAGCTGTCAGAAGAATGTTTACCGAAGACGAACTCGTTAGGTTTAAAATTCCGTCTGGACAAGTCTTAGGGTCATTACTACCCCACTAAGCGGGAGTGGTCTGTAGTGGTAAATACATCCTCAAATTATCGTTGGCTCTGTAGATCTTCCATATTTGATGCCGTTCGCACTACTGTATTCACCAAGTTGAAGACACTCTGTCACGCATCCGGACCAGACCACTAGTGTGTACATCGTACTACGCATCTCTTTCAATCGTTAGTCAGCTTAAACCAAAGTCTTTTTGAAGGTTTT